CGGACGATGTCGATGTTATATCTGGCAGTGGTATCAAAGCCTCTCCCAAGCCAAATATGGCGACCATTGCCGGACACCCAAGTTCAGCTCTACGGGGAAACATCTTGGAGGCCATTCATCTCGCCTCTGCACACCTGGCTTTCGACCATATCGATCGAGACATGGTCCACACTGGCACCTCAATCATTGTTATCACCCCCGGTAGTGGGGTTTTCGAGGTCTCTTACGAGTCCTTGGCTTCTACAACAGAAGCCCTTGCGAACCGAGGCATAGCAATTGATTTGGTCTGCTTGAGTCCGATGCCTCTGCATTCTGTGCCACTCTTTAAATATCGAGAGCCAATGGAGCGAGATTCTGAGCATTCAGGAGTGGCCCGATCCAGTGAAATTAATAGGGATAAGATGTCTTCTGACATACATCATTCCCTGTCAAGCGTTGTTAGCAGATCATCATATCTTTCTCCAAGCTCATACCTAGCTGCAAGCAGAATGAGGGAACGAGCACCACCTCAAGCTAAAGATTGGAGCTTTGGTATTCCTCATTGGCTTGACATATCCTATTGGAACCCTGAAACATACAGAGAGGCCCGGCGAATCTTAAAAAAAGACCCAAATGCGCCTATCTCTCTTACCGTCACTCGGCCATCAAAGGCCTTCACGCCACGAGTGCGCATGTATGAGATCCAAATGATGGGAGTCATGGAAAGTGAACAAGCAAACATCACAATTCCTTATCTTACTGAAGGGCGCGGTGGATCAAGACCTCGTGGATCTTGGCCCGGTTACAGTTCAGCTACTCGTGCTCCCCCTAAAGCCCGTTTTGTGACCCCTTCGTCGTTCAAGGCACAGCTTAGTGACAGTCTTCGCCCAGGATCCTTTATTCAAAACGTGGCAGACCAAAATGAATCGCAAACTCGAGATACGCAGAGTTCACGCAAGGCAGTGATGTCTTGGATGGACCAATACGATGAAAACCTTTTCGCTGTCTCTCCGAGACGGCACCAGGCTACCAAAGCGTCCAAGGCAAAACGACCCAGTGAATCAGAAGTCCAGGCTGCTGGCGGCGGAGTGCATGAACGGTTATCTGCCCGCTCCATCACGCGCCTCCGCCATCATGAAACAAATCCAGCAGACGAGAATGATTCTTTGCACTCTGGACCTCGAAGAATTGACTCGAATATGACTACACCAAAAAGCCCAAGCTCGGGCAAGAGCATGTCTCCCATAAAACCAGCGTTGAAAAAGACGCCAGGGCCCATGGTCTCACGGATTTCTCGGACGATTAGCTTTGCACTTCGAGGCTTGAGCGCTACTCCCCCGAGAGCCTCGCCGAGTACAGGAGTCAATGTGGAACATGCTAGTGCTATGCCCATGACAAACCAAAGGACCCCTGCTGGGTCAATCTCCGATGCCAGGAGTATCACTTCTTTGAGCCCGTCAGAAACAGCATCGACTACATCAGTCTTCGAGGTACTTTCGACATCTTCAACACCCGCCAAGTCCTCCCAGACTCCTGCTAAGCCAATTTCTATCAAAATACCTCCCAAAAGTTCACCAAAGGAATCCGAACCGCCAGAACAGGTGGGCCCCCTTGGATCACTGCCAGTGGAAACGGCAGCGAATGAGGTCGATCGGGGCCATGGTGAAGAGCATTTGAACGGTCACAGGCCCGAAATAACCCTCAATTATAGCCTACGCGAGCCGTATGCGCGGAACTCCCCAAGCAAAGCGTTGTCTCCGTGGGTCCGATCCGTAAACCCGTGCAATACCCCTAAAGATGTGCTGCGGGATACTAGTTGGTTTGGTCGTTGGCAACATGCGTATCCTCGCCCTCCACACGTGGCTGTGGTAAAATGGAAAAGCTTAAAGTCTCCCGCGGTGCTTCCATTGACAACAGAAGAATTTCCGACAGCTAGTGTGCTTGCTTCAGACTATCTACAGACACCATATCGTGTCTTCCCAAATGAAGATTCCGAAGGCATTGAAGCGCCCAAGACGCGTGGAGTACTTTTACGAGAAATGATCTCGCTGCGGCTTTCTCATGGCTTCCAAATCATTGTTGGGAAACATGTCGCTGAAGTGTCCGCGCAGCCCGCCCTTGAATCATTGAATGTCTTCGATTTCCGAGGTCTAGAGCGCGATGGGCTTACAATGTTTCTCTCGAAGGGCAACACGATCCACCGTCTTGTCTGCATCCAAGATGGAGAAGTTGAAGTGACCCGCTTTACGCATCAAAACTCTGCGGTGATCACTTCTCCCAGAAAGCCTACCTTTACTCTCTATCAACCGGCGATGAAAACAATATTGAGCGCAGAATACGAAGTGAAAAATATCAAGCTGGATCCAACCTCCGAAGAGTACAACTGGAACTATGCCGATAATTATGTGGCTGGTCATCGAGATTATCTCCAAAACCCGACACAGCAGCTGCACTTCTGGCGAGTCCGTTATGTCTTGATTCCGCTTCAACTTCAGGCCAATTCTCGGCGAAATTTGCAAACTTCCCATGAGGATAACGAAGAAGAAATTCATTTGCTCGGGATCAGCCAACTGACCCATATCTGGCAACGGTTCAGATACGTGTCGCCCGAGGAAAAGCTTTTCGAGACGTCAAATCCCAAGCGAGACCAGAATCCTCTGAACATCATGTACCAAACACGCAATCCATCAGAGATCGTTACAGCAGAGCTGGATCGTTTGCTACTCACTGATCCAGGGCTTGATAATGCCCCTGCTCAGCTGTTACCCGAATCAGAACTATTAGACAGATCCAGCATCAGTCTTATGTCGTTGGCGCAAATTATCCAAGGTGAAAAGGGCGTCCGGATGATGGATCGACGGTGGCATTGGAGGTTACACTACAATTGCTTTATCGGGTTTGAATTCACAACCTGGCTGCTGCAAAACATACGCGATGTCGATACCCGTGAACAAGCAGTCAAATTCGGCAACGAGTTGATCGATCACGGTCTGTTCCAACATGTAGAAAAGAGACACAATTTCCGAGATGGCAATTATTTCTATCAAGTCTGTGCTGATTATCGTGTCACTCGTCCAGAGTCTCGAGGAAGCTGGTTCCCTCAGCTCAGATCAGACAAATCGATGCCGTCGACACCCGCCATTGGGACAGCCAAGGAGTCTCCTGCCAGCCTCAAAGCTCGATCAGACAGCATCGACGAGCGCATACCACAGACCCCCAGCACTCCTTCCAAGTCAAAGAATAAAGTCGCCATCATGCTGTCCAAATCCATGAAATTTGATGTTGATCCGCGCAAGCGGTCGAATCGGCCAGAAGTGATTGACCTTCACTGGGACCGACTCCATAACCCGGAGAATTGCTTCCATATCGAACTCAGCTGGATGAGCACGACTCCCAAGTTGATTGAAGATACCGTGCTTTCTTGGGCCTCGACTGCCGACAAATTCGGGCTGAAATTGGTACAGGTGCCGATCGCCGAAGCCTGTGCTATCGATAAGACGCAGCCATTCCGGAAACCCTACCGGATCAAACTCAAGGTCCCACCACCTAAAGGACCACTGCACACAGTATTTAACAATGCGTCATTTGCGCAACCAGGCCCACCGGATCGCCTATACTATCAGAAGGCCATATTGCGGAAATTTGATTTCGTACTAGACTTCGAAGCTAGCTCTGCATTCCCAGCAGATGTTGAAGTATGCTACTCCTGGGGAAAGCCCGATTACCTTTACCCGCAATTCATCCACCGAACCGGAAGCATCCTCGCACAAATCACCGATGAAGGCGATTTCCTTCTCCTGGCGAATCGGCTAGTAAGTACCCGCAGCACCGCGAGTCGAGACGCAGGCCGTTTTGAGAATCACAATCGGTCTGACTTCCGAGGCCGTGCGCCGAATCACGATGGACTTGACCGCGTCTCGCCCCGACTTTCCCCAATTACCCGGCCCGTGCATGACATTGGCAGCATCGGCAGCCCACTTACCCCATCTGGATCGGCAAGCATCGACTCGGCAAACCTGTACCGCGCTCCGGAACACATCCTTAACGGCATAGTTGAGTTCTGCAGCGACGCAGCCCAATTGGAGCAGTTCTACTCAGAGTCACATGTTCGTCCATTATCCACAAAGGTGGAGTCGACTACCACAAACCTAATGGATGCATCGATCCCGTCACTCGAGCTTCCTGCCAGCGTAGTCAGTCATCATATCTCACCGCCACCAGGGCTGCCATCCCGGATTACCCGCGAGTCGCGCGAGGGACTGATGTCACCGGACGCTACACGTGCCAGAGTTCGCGGGGAAAGTCTCAGTTACAATGCAAGCCCTAGGAGTGGCAGTCTACGACCCTTGATTTAACCATTCGAATATACCCATGCTCTGATGATTTTGTACCCAACTGAAATGTGATATTAGCTATGTTTTTTGTTTTGTTTTATAGTTGTACAATAGTGGCCATGAGACGAAACCATTGATTTTATTTGACCCCCACGTACTTCATATATAATTTTTTCTATTTTCGATTTCAATTTGGGGGGAGAATACAAAAATATCCAGTCGTTCTCTGAGATATCGCCCCCTCACTAACGCTAGGGCAAGCCACCATGCACTTTAGCCTGATATTAGCCATTCAGCCGACATTTTAACCACGTGCTCTGGTTGGTGGGCGACCAATCCAACGGGCATCTCCAAAATCCCAAATATTTGCCCCCGCCTTATTTTCTACCCCAAGCTCCAGAAAATAGCGGAGCTCTCTGCTGGCGAATGCGCACTATTCAAAATCAGGCCACGGCGGACCATACCCCGTGTCAAATGAAGCAGGTCACGCTTCCCTCATGGCGTTCCGGCGTAAAACAAAAAGAGCTTGACTGCCCTCCCCTGTCATTTAATTTCTTCCTTCATTCTGCTTCTTCATTTCAATCCAAAGCTCGAAGTTAAGCCACCAGGTATCTCTGGGGTAGCTTGTGCAGAACCTATTCCAAGAATAAGGATCTCAATCGAGCTTTCCTGCCCTTCCTCTTCAAGATGAAGTTCACCGCGGGCATGTGGTGCCTGCAGGTAATTTACTCCCTGGTTAATCAAGTTGGCATAGAATGATCACTGACAGGCAATTGAACCATATAGGAGGGCATCAACATCGAGTGGATGAGCAACGTGGAGCGTTTCTCAATTGAAGACGATTCCGTTAATCTGCTGTTGAACAAGTTCCAAGCACACCGAGGACACACCCTCAACTCACGTGCGTTCTCAATCCTCCCTCGGTCTGAGAAATCCAGAAACTAACAAAAATCTATAGCAACTGTCTCCACAACTCTCACTTCTCCATTGGAGGGAGTCATCGGCGTGAAGCTTGTCCACTGGTAAGTGCCTCAAGAGCACCAGATGAAGCTCTCAATATGGACGACTAGTTCATCACAGTATAATAACACCATGCAGGGACGGTCAGAATGACAACGGTCCTCACTACCACCTGAACAAGGCCACCGGCCACACCAAGATCGAGCACAACAAGACTGAAAAGAAACTCAACTACACGAGCGGGTCACTCAATCTGGCTGTGAACACATCCGCCAATGAACTTAGCCTAGAATTTCAAGCTCCAAGCGGTAAGAAACTGACCGGACAATCTTTCCGCTCTATCGGATACGTGCGCGACCAGAACAGTGAGAAGCACCGTTATGATGACGGCATTTACGCCGAGCGCCAGGGATACATGCTCGCAGGGCTTGACCTCGGCGTTGGCGAGAAGGTCTACGGTCTTGGAGAGCGGTTCGGTCCTATGGTCAAGAACGGACAGACTGTTGATATCTGGAACGAGGATGGCGGCACTTCGTCCGAGTTGGCCTACAAGAACATTCCCTTCTACATCAGTTCTAAGGGATATGGTGTGTTCGTCAACCACCCTGGCAAGGTCAGCCTGGAGGTGCAGTCCGAGCGCACAACTCGCGTCAACATCTCTGTGCCTGGCGAGGAGATTGAGTACTTCATTGTGTATGGAGCTACACCAAAGGATATTCTGGAGCGTTACACTGCTTTGACTGGCAGACCCGCCTTGGTTCCTTCATGGAGTTACAACCTCTGGCTTACTACCAGTGAGTTTTTGATATGATTTGCTCTGGAAAACTGGATGAAAAAAACTGACGTTATGCTAAAGGTTTCACAACCAACTACGACGAAGAGACTGTCACTGGATTCCTTGATGGATTCCGTGACCGTGACATCCCCCTGGGTGTCTTCCACTTCGATTGTTTCTGGATGAAGTCCTACCAGTGGTGTGACTTCGACTTCGACTCTGAGATGTTCCCCGATGCCCTGGGATACCTCAAGCGTCTCAAGGAGCGCGGTCTCCGCATCAGTGTCTGGATCAACCCTTACATCGCCCAGGCATCGCCTCTGTTCGCTGAGGGCAAGAAGAACGGATACTTCATCAAGGTATGTTTCAAAACAGTGAAGGCTCTGAGAACAAACAACCCCTAACAATTTCATAGCGCACCGATGGCTCCGTATGGCAATGGGACATGTGGCAAGCCGGCATGGCCGTCGTTGACTTCACAAACCCCGCCGCTTGCGATTGGTACAACGCCCACCTGGAGCGACTCATGGAGATGGGCGTCGACAGCTTCAAGACTGACTTCGCCGAGCGCATCCCCGTCAAGGGCGTCCAATACCACAATGGCGCCGACCCCGAGCGCATGCACAACTACTACGCTCTCCTCTACAACAAGACCGTGTACGAGACACTCAGCAAGGGCGTTGGACGCAACCAGGGTCTCCTCTTCGCTCGCAGTACCGCACCAGGCGGACAGGCGTACCCCGTCCACTGGGGTGGCGACTGCGAGAGCACATTTGAGGCTATGGCCGAGTCGCTGCGCGGCGGCCTGAGCCTGATGCTGTCTGGATATATGTTCTGGGCTTCTGATATTGGTGGATTCGAGGGTACCCCGCCTCCGGCTCTGTACAAGCGTTGGGTGCAGTTTGGACTTATGTCTACTCACTCGCGTCTGCATGGATCGTCTTCGTTCCGTGTGCCTTGGATCTATGGAGAGGATTGCTCGGATGTGCTGCGAGACTGCGTTAAGCGCAAGATCCTGCTTACTCCTTACATTATGCAGGAGGCACTGAGGGGCCATGGAAACGGCACACCGCTTATGCGGCCGCTTTTCCTGGAGTTCCCTGAGGATCTTAACACATATGCTATTGACACACAGTATATGTTTGGCCCTAATCTGCTGGTTGCACCAGTGTTCACAGAGGAGGGTGAGGTTACTTTCTACGTTCCTCAGTCTCCTGATGATGAGGCTGGAAAATGGATCTCGTGGTTCGATCACTCCAAGTCTTACGAGTCTGGTCGTTGGTACACTGAGACTCACAACTTCGATACCATGCCCATTTTGATCCGTCCCGGCTCCGTTACTGTCACCAACCCCACAATCAAGGCCCCTGATGGTGATGCCTTGTCTGGAGTCGAGTTGCTGGTCAATGGACGCCTGCGGGCTGAGACTACGATCGAAATTGTCAACTCCGCCCAGTCAGACGAGATCTTGAAGACTATCCAAGTTTCTCCTACTGCGGATGGAAAGGTTGAGACAAACGGTCACAGTGTGAAATTGGTTTATCTTGCCTAGATTCAGATTACATAAATAGAGAATGAACTGCATGGAACTTATGTCATTTGCATCAAATTGATCAAGAATCATGTTAAAACGTAGGGGGAAAGCCTCCACAGACAGAACTAAACCTCAGTATGAAGCAGGTGGGTATCATATTTGAAACAGATCGCAATGCAAAGAGGCAAGCAGAGCCGAAAAAAACAAGAAAAAGCAAAGAAGAGGAAGTTAATCAAAAACTCGAAGCCCGGGTCTGCGACTATACCAGGCAAGACCAAATCACTAACGATTAGGCGTAGGAAGGAAAAAAGAACAATGCACGAGTGCAATAGCCATGGATATGCAATCAGCAAACGTAAAGAAATGAAAGCCTGGTAAAGTATAATCACCAAACTTCTTCAACGTCAAGGAGCCACTTTCGGATTCCTTCACGCAATGTATTATCAGCACCTGATAGCGCTCTTCTCCGCTCGCGGTCCGCAAGCCCGAGTGTGCTGTCCACATCTTCACGGCAGTGTTCGGCGGTGACAAGGCGAACGACTTCTTCGAGGGCCCCGAGCACCATCTTGCGGCATTCACCACGAGGCACTTCAAGTGGAGGGGCTTCATCATGTCTAGAAGAAGGGCCTTTGTCTTCAGCTTTACGAGCACGGTTAGGGGAAGGGGCACGTGATTGTGCCATTGACGAGTAACCACTCTGTCCCAAGACACGCTCGACAGCATCAACTAGAACTCCGTCGAGGTCCATCACAGGCTCCTCAATAAACCGCTCTTCCACAAAGCTCTGGTCCTGTTCATCAGCGGTAGGGCCATGGGGTTTCTCATGTCCAGAAAAGAAACTGGTGAATTGGGAGGCCGAGGCACCTCCAGTTGATCCACGGGGGGTAGCGTTGGCAGGCGAAGGGGGCGTATGAGAGGCCCCAGAGCTATGACCTACTGTGATCTTGCGTCGTAAGCGGAGTCGTTTCACTGTAGAAGCCTTGGTATCTGCAATCAAAGTCGTCGCAACATCTACCCATTTCTCTGATCCGTCCACGTCAGATGTGGAGGGGATGTACGGGGATGGTTCAGCTCGCATTGCCCGTTTGATTTCTGCTTCAAGAGAGGCATAAGGCCGGACCGCTTGGAGCGAGAAATCCTCATGGAAAAATTTCAACCAACCAGCCACGTGGGAAGTCGGCCCATCACTATCCTTCATAGTACCGGGAAATCCAGAGCCGCTACTGTGCGTAGAAGCAACCGCATCCATGCTGGTTACAGAAGTTCGAGTCTTCTTTGGCGAGGCAATAGTCGAATCGCCAGACGAAGAAAGTGACATAAAACCAGGAAGTGGAAGGTCAACATCCACCACGCCTTCATCTGCTCGGACTGACAACTTCAACGGCGACTCCCGAACCTGGCTGGTGAGTGATGATGGCTCTGGCGAGGCAGCCTCAGTGTTGTGAGGAGCCGCTGCAGAAGGAGTTGGTATTGAGATGTTTCCACTGGGAGCTGTTTCGGGCCGGTGCTTATCCTCATTTTCTGTGACTTCCTTGACCATTTGAGTCAAAGTGGTGGACCCGCGCCTAGCAGGACCAGAGATTATAGAGGCAGACCTTTTGCGAGCTTCAGATTGGGAATATGGCTCGCTACTTTCGGTAGATGAGTCTTGACGAGAGCTCCAAAGACCGGAGAAAATACCCCCCCAGCGGCCTCCAGCTGAGGAAACACTGCCGTTTGTGCTCACTGCAGAGCTATCACTTCGTTGAAGGCTCTTCAGTAGAGTCTCCGATGCTAGGCTATCAGTGCCTTCGGTTGCGCTGCGGTCTGCCCTAGCCTGAGTAGAATGGCTTGGCTGAGAAGTAAAATGGGGAACAGGAACAGTGCTGCGCTGAGTGATCATAGAAGTAGTTGCTCCACTCGTATTCATGGCTCGAGCATCCTTCGGAAGGATGCTTGCACCCGGTGGTTTGATGGAACGAGCATCAGACCCTCTGCGGGCCGAGGCCGCGTGTTCCACCGATGTGTTTATTTCAGCTCCATCAAAAGACCGCTGGGCTGTCTCCTGAGACGAAACGCTCACTGATCGCTGGTGGTGATCAATATCTCCCATGATCATTCGCTGGGCACGAGCTCGTCGTTCGATCGCTCTACGAAGAGACTCCTGACGGAGGACAGGCACATTCGGTGGGCTTTGAGAGATAGCACGCATTGAGGTCGATGTACCAGGTCTAAGAGGAGAAGGTAACGGCTCCAGGCGTTGTTTGGAGGGTAAGAAAGCGGCTAGTAAGAACACGAGGCGGCGAGCAGTCATCTTATCTGGGCATATAATGACTGTTCTGTTTGCAAGAATGAGTTCACCATCCTGCTGAGCTTTGTGTTGCTGGTTATGGCGGCGACGATACCACTCTGGGCCAAGGCTATTGAGCCACTCGGTATGATTTCCCAAAAATGCAGTCAAAACAACTAAGAAGAAGAAGTTCTGCTCTTTGTCGCCCAGACCTCGGACAATGGAGCGGCCTTCCTCCCGCCAGACGCCCCAACGACTTTGTCCGGTGACCACATATGGGGTTTGAAGAGCAAGGCTGATCCGGCGGGAGCTGCGAATAGCTTCTTCTTTAAGCTTCGAATTGACCGATAGAATGTTGGCAGGTAAATGCACAATGGTCTGGTTGGTCCGCTGCATATTGGGAGGCTTCGCAGGCTTTGGGTGTGGCCCGGATAAAGAGTCCACTTTCTTCAAAAGGAAGAGAATTTCGTTGCGAACAAGTCTTTCGAGGTGGGAGAGTGTACGAGTGATGACGTCCCAATGATCAACTAGCAAATCCAGACGCTCATCCAGGCTAGCCGGGGGCGAGGCAGAAGATAAGCTATCATCAAAGAATCCACCTGGCCAGCGGTGATCAGAATCCAGCGAGCTTGAGAACCCTGGCCGAGGAGAGTCTGGGCCCGGAGTACTAAATCTTGATACAGGACGTCCAGTGTTGCGTGGCAGCAAGGGGATCTGGATCGTAATTGCAACCGCGTACATGGGTGTTTTCTTCTCCTTGATTTTCTTACGCTTGGAAACATCCGGGAATGGGAACTCCATCTCAGGCAATGACTCTTGGTAGAGAGCATTGGCATAGTCATGTCGCTCAGCCGATGCTTCCGCTCCTTCGGGAAGATTCACACTAAACATGCGAGTCAAGAGAACTGTCACTTTGGAAGGTGGTTTATCGTCCACTCCTCGGCCTCCTCCTATCGGACCCGCGGGACTGCCTGTGGTATATGCCCGGGAAAGTGGACTGCGGGCAGCAGGCGATGCACTCACCCCGGCTGCCGAGTTTTCATCAGCGGAGATTATGTGCATTTTTGTAGACGACCCCCGGTAGCTGAAGGCACTGCTGCCGAAGATGCAGTTCAAAAGGCCGGTATCATTGGAGTCAGAGGGGTGTCGCGATAGGCCAGGATCGTGGGATGTTCCCGGTGGTGCTAGTGTAGAGCTACGGCCTCGAGCCCGGGAAAAAGCACCCGGGCTGGCTGGTGACGACCTGCGCGCATCTGCAGCTGCGGAGAGGGGACTCGATTCGATGAGGGATGATTGGGTGAGAGGATTGCGGCGTGTTCCACGAGAAAGACTTGAGGCTGCCCGGGTATGTCTAATACCGGACTGGTCGTTGCCTTGTGGGTCGATTCCAAGACCAGCGGGGGATGAATCGGACGCACGAGTGTCAAGTAAGACACATGCATCTCGGTCGCCCAATGCATTCTGTGCAACAATCACACGAAAATCTTTGATTGCATCCAATTCCATTCCCCCACGATCATCATATGCACCAGTGGTCGAGGCATTCGGGGAATTGAAAGTCGTCTGCAATGGGAAGGCATGGGTATGGGAACGCCGAAGGAGGCTGGCGTCGGGGAAAAGAAGACCGGAGGTATGTTCCTCTTCCGTCACAGACTCGAGAGGCGTTCCATTGCTTCGTCCAGAGTATGCCGCCGGGTTCAGAGTCGACGCGGCGGTACTCAGGAGTCGGCCGAGCATGGTGGATGAGAACGGGGAAACCCGCAGACCTCGGGAAAGAACAGGTACTTAGGGACGCAGGGAAAAGAAAATGGACCGGTCGAATTCACGCGGTGTAACAATGGGCATCAGACAGCTAGGGATATCTAGGCTGCATCCACCCATAGCTTAATTCAACCAAGCAAGAATCATCATAAAACGATGAAGGGAATTGAGAATATCCAGAGTTATGAGAGGGGAGGGAGTGGAAGGTGGGATGAGGTGCAGTGGGGCTTAGATCAACAATTAGGAATTAGGAATTGGCTTTGCACGCACGAAGACTCCACAGTCTGATCAGAATTGTGTAGAAAACCAGGAGGTCAAATGAAATAATCCCAGAGCTTCTTAAGGGACCCAGTCTCTTGAACATAGAAACCACCCTGGGGGGGATCGGAGAGGGAACGCGAAAAGGCGGTGAATAAAGTCACATGATCTCAGCTTCGTGGTCTACGGTGAAGGATAGTGGCCTTTTGATCTTTTCTTATAGATCTGATTCTCTGACTCCCGAGGTCCGATAGATCCATTCTACTCCGTAGAAGCAGTTAGAACATAAAAAGAGCCCTTGTTTTGACCTATAAATGTACACCTAGAGCAGAGCTATTATTGGCTATCAGAACTACATCCAATGAGAGATATATCAGTCACTACTACTAGCCACTGTGTCGCTATTCTCTACCGTCGTCGTGTCACCGTATAGTCGTGTTTGCAAGAAATCGTGTTACTTGAGAGGCGCCGATTTGTGTTATTTCAGACGGATATGAATTTAGGATTGGAGGAAATGGTTTACCTCCCAAAATATTACTCATGGTGGGCACATGCCATCTCTACACCGTCAATCCTACCTCGTGTGATACAAGCATCATGCCTGCAACTCCAGTACCACCTCTGGACAGGCCCTATAATCATGCTTGTAAATACCCCGACCCTACCAGGGGGAAAGAAACTTCCAAGGAACACTCTTCATGTTGACTAATATGTACTAAGCTATTCTGTC